GAAAAACGCTGTTCAACTTTATTTTAGAACGTCCGAAGAATATTTACTAATTTTTAATTCAATTTAATTATTAATCGAGCCGATTCCAGGGAAGATTAACGATAAAAAATTTCCGGCAAACTCACGCAAAAGATATTTTTGTTTCAATAATTCCGTATCCGAACAGAATTCAACGGACGATTCGCGATTTTATAATAAATCGCGTCAAAGAACACGAGGGATATATTTATTTAAGAATTGCGAAGAATATCGTTGATAGTAAATTTACCCATTTCGATGAGGATGCATTTGTTCCTTGGTAGTACTCGAGAAACGCGTGGAGCGCTAAGGGTTAAATTTTCGATATACATATTTTTACACAAGGATCATCTTGTCGTCTGTCACAAATCCTTCTGCGCCACCTTTTAAACTTCGATCAACATATAGGACAAGACCTACCTGCCAAGGAGAGTACTTGTAAGGATTTCATGCCGCACAAGTGCTGAAGACTCAAGTCTTTAAGTTGCGAGCACCATCTCAAGAACAGTGCGCTCAGTGATACCATTGTGGAGATGTAGCCCACGCCAATGTCCGTGATGTGCACACATCTACGCAGACAGAACATTCTTTATATAACATACTCATTTTGTTTTCCACATAGTTTTGCCTATCTATATACTACTTCTATTAACAAAAGAACCTTGCATATTTCGATCGCCGTATTACATATTATTATACATATTATGTACATACATATTATATTAATAATATCTAAAAATAAAAAAAAATCTATTATAATCTATTATAAAAAATAATAAATAATCTATTATATTATATTAATATATGTATTTAATATATTATATTATATGCCGTATTACATATTCACTTTTAATTTGCTGCTTCCGTCAACATGTAATTACTATCATCAGCTTCCTACCGCGTGATCCAAAACAACTGCATCTCTAAATTTTTCCATTTTCAAATCTCCCCCCTCCCCCTCCCCCGGTTTCTGATGTCGAGAATCTGGCAAGTCGCGAGCGCCGATTCATCATTTCGAACGCGTCCGTCTCGTAGCACCGTGAAAAGTTTGACCGTCAAATTCCAGTCTTTATAGCACTTGCAGTTTACTAATCGTTCCGCGACCGCAGCGCCATTAACGTCTCACTCCGAGACAAATTGGCACGGTTTATTCGGCGACAATGTGTCACACGGTCGACAAGTTAGCCGATCAGGACCGGTTCCAACGTGTTCGGGAGTACCGTATATCATCGACGTCGAGCACTCAATCGGTCGCCCGAGCAGATTATAAGTCTGTCTCCTTAGGCGTCTCGAGGAGCTTCGCAAGGTGAATCACACTGATTACGTAACGACCGATCCTAAATAGAATGCTCGTTAGCGCGGCCAGTATTTGGACCATGAATGAAGCGATCGAGCGGATCGTACGGTTTCCACTGTGGCAAAAGCCTGTCCGGCTGATCCAGATTTATTAAACCGATTGGAATCTTCGTCCGAACATTTTGGAACGCCGTTTGACGGTTTCCGCAACTCGATGCAAGCATGCGATACAACTCGGAATAAATTTTATCGTTCCCTTTGAATTCGCGATGTTCATTGTTCCTGCCTCTTGTGCCAGACGCCAGATTTTTTTTTTCATAGTTATCGATGATCGCGCGTGGGGCAAAGCAATTAATAGAAGTAAGCAATAATGAAAGGTAATAAAAAGTAAGTAATTAACACTATGCCATCCGGTGGCATGCAAAAACTATCCGTTGTATGCCGGTGGTACCACTTTAGTGGCATTTTAAAAAACTGAAATAATATTTGAACTATATTTCTTGGGCGTTAGAAGGCGGCAAACTAACTATAGCATTGTGCTTATTAATAATAATATAAAATAATAATAATATAAAATTAATAATAATATAAAATTCTTGGATGACGTATCTTAATTTTAGGAATTTATATTACCGCCATCTTCGAAATTTTTTTTTTAAATCTAACATTTCCAAGCTATTATGCCGGCGTCAAACAAAAGAATATCTATCTCTAAATATATATAATAATAATATTATATATATTTATAAATATATATAATAATAATAATATATTATATAATCATATATTAACATATAATATAATATAATATATAATAATATATATTATATAATATATTATATAATAATAATATATTATAAATATATATAATATCTCTAAAATATCATATCTAAGATCTGCGGACGGTATGGTGTTAATAACAACAAGTAGGTAATAATAAAAAAGTAATCCTATGTAAGTGATTAATAATAAATTAAGTAATAATAAAAAGTAATAAAGTAAGCGTAGAATAAAATTTTGCGCACAGAATAGAAATTTGTCAGTATGTCTCGGTTCCCACTTAGTCCAATCGAAGAAGCGTTCTTCCGCTTTCTGCGATTCCACGAGATGAAATAAGTCGAAGGAATGAAATCGTAACTGATAATTTGATTGCAGCGGACACGTTACTTTCGTCGAAGAGAAAAGGGATCAACTCGATTAAATGTCTGCACACCGTTTTTTTCTTTCCTGATCGGCTCTCACCTGTCCAACGTAAGCTCCTCCAAGTGATTCAAATCACAGGCAATATATTCTAAGGCTGCGTCAGTAATCCTTGAGCACCAACTCAGATCTAAGGAACGAAGTCTTGGCAAGTTCTCCGCGATCAGCTCGACACCGTCGTCCGTTACTTTGCTGCACCCCGACAGCGACAACACTGTCAGATTCGGCAAGGAATGCACTGGAACAGAGAAAGAATTGCCACTATTATTACGCGAGTTTTTCATGCTTTGCGGCGACTCTGTTTACATCGGCGACTCTGTTTACAAAAGATTTCGCTCGTAACTGCGTTCGATTCGTTGGTCAACACTAAACCAACCGACCTGTAATGACGACCAGCGTGCATTGAAATATATAGGAGTGAAAAGATAGAATTCATTTGGATTTTGTAAAGTTTCAATTATGGGACTTGTTTCAATAATATTATTTTGTTCAATCATTTCCCACGAAAAAGTCTCCAAAGTTCGTGGCATAAATATATATATATATTGTAATATATAAATATTATATATATATATATATATATATATATATATATTATAAATATAATATTGTATAATATTGTATATATATATATATATTATAAATATAATATTGTATAATATTGTATATATACTATATATATACTATATATATTGTATTATATATAATAATATATAATAATATATACAATATTATATATAATATTGTAAATATATAAATATACATATATCGTGGCATAAAAAATCGGTCATTTTAACCGTGGTAGGTTTAGCGTTAAACGAATTGGGATGGCTCCGGATTGTCGCGGACGTTGACTGTACACACGAAATGTATAACAGCGCTCGATTAACTTTTCTATTTTGATTTTGATAGTCCGCCGGCTATGCCAATCATGCGTGACTGACATAATATCCTAGTCTCAAGCTAAAAATAAGATCCGCACAACTAGAAGAAAGCTAGAATAATTAACAATATCAACAATCCACGGAATTTACGTTCCGTCGGACGGACTGTTTTACACGCGATACGGAAAATCTCGTTAAACGCGACAATAGAAAACGTCCGAACTATGGAAAATTCAGAGTTGTACGACAACGGAGTCGCATCGTGATCCGAAGTCCAGCGACACGATCGAGACCGTTACGAACCGCGTTCCGCCGGTGGCCACGTATTTACGCGTATCAAGTTTCATGAAAATCTTTTCGCCGTATAAATAACGTTCAACCGGTCGTTGACCACCCACTCGGCCAGGAAACGAAGTCTGAAGTATCGCCGACGTCCAGATAGCTAAATAAAGCCGTGTTCCTTAATTCTAAATTTACAATGACCGGACGCGTCCGACACCTGGCTTAATTTCACGCCATCATCGCCACAGTATTTCCACCTGGACCAGCGGCGTAGGAGCGCGTTGACGCAATTGTCTCGTTCGCGCGGGACTTTGCGTAACGTCCGACGTGTCCTCTCGCGTTAGCACGCTAACTCCCGCGGCGATGTAAACGATTCGGCAAACAATTTCGCGTCCGCCGATCTCGCGGAACGTCTATTTAAATCCGCACGCTGATAAACCGATAAAAATAATATGAATAAATAATAATTATTGAAAAATAAATTAAAATTAAAAAATAAATAATAAAAAATAAATAATGATATAAATAAACCGATTTGAAAATATCGCCGATTGCCGGATAACGCGTCCGATAGCTTTTCTTAGCCAAAAGACAAGCGAATTAACACGTTCAGCGCCACGTCGGTCAAATATACAATACAAATATATTATATATTATTATATATTTATAATAACATAAATATATAATATAATATAATAATATAAATATAATATAAATATATAATATTACCCTAATTTTTGACCACAATTGAAAATTCATTTTCACTTGGTAATATATTCGAACAAACTGAATTTCACTAGAATGTATCGGATGCGAAGGAGTTCTAATATCATCTGCTATGATGAATTTTAACTTTCTAGTTTCGGTTTGATTAATTAAAACGCTTTGATTTTTGTAGTAATATTTTAATGGCCGATTGTGGGCACCGAATGTGTTAAACAGCCGTGATTCGTGAATAATAAATTGCCAGGCTTCGTTGCACATGTCAGCCCGAAGAATAAATAGAAAAATTTATCCTCGAATAAAAAGGCTCGCCCTATTTATATGTTTATTAAAGAATTCTCTGTCTGTGTGGTTTATTATCACGAATAAAACTCGCTGGTTTTCGCCTAAATTTCATTATCGTCGCATTCTATTGGGTTGTCCGGAAAGTTCGTGCCGATTTTCGGTAGGTAGCGTGAGAGACCTGACTGAATATATCGCAACTATTGAAAACAAATGACATGTGTACATATTCTAAAAGAGATAACTTCAGCCATATTTGGAAAAAAGTTTGGTTACGATTCGTTAATTTTTATCAGTTTTGTACGCCTTCGAATATGGTGGCAAATAAAGTGCATTATATGCATTTAATGCTTTTATTTTTCCGAAAGGGCAAAAATGCCACACAAGCGGCAAATAAGATATGCGCTGTTTATGGCGAGGATGCCGTAGCCGAAAGAACTGTGCGGAAGTGGTTTGCTCGGTTTAAAGCTGGAAGTTTCGACCTTGAAGATCAAGGACGACAAATTTTTTGCCAAAAAACCTGAGGGGTTCTGGAAGGACGGAATTCTCTCAAGCTGCATGAAAGATGGAGAAAGGTTGTGGAACAGAATGGTACCTATATAATTTAATAAATGTATACCAATATTTATAAATGAGCTGCGTTTTAATTTTCCTAAAAAATCGGCACGAACATTCCGGACAACCTAATACTATACGAGATGATTTCGAATAAATTTTGTATGCCTGAATTCAGCTTCTTCCGGACGGAATTCGAACTGGACAGTGTTTCTGACAGAGACAGCCGGCGAACGTGGCAACGTTGGACGCTTCGAACGGAGCTTACCGATGTTATGTACACCGTGATTGGTAAGCTCCCAGCAGGATTGGAGCCTCAGGATGCTGAGGGCGCTGCTCTGTTTCGAGTTGAAGTAACCAAGGGCGGCGTCGGTGACGTGGTATGCTTGCAACGAGAACTCGTAGAGGCTCGGCAGCAATTGAGCGACAGCCCCGACGGCTTCGTCGGCCACGTTGATGCAATCCGACAAAGAGAGCGATACTATTCTAGGTGTCAAGCAGGTCCACAGGCCGGCTTCCGTTATCTCGTTGCAGCCGGCTAATTCAAGCTCGAACAACGCCTAAAAATAATGGTGGACCGTTAGAAGAACAATTTTGCGACGTTCCTGCGAGAGCGCGCCGGGGTCCCCCGTGACCCCGGAATAATTTTCTCCGTACGAAATGCCAGAGAAGTTCATCCGCTTTTAGGCTTCGCGAGATTATTAAACTGCGCGTGCACGCGCCGTTATCGATCAAAAGCGAACTTAACGTCATCGAATACCGTTAACTTAATTTTAATTAACTTCATCGAATACTGGTTAATTGTTAAAATCCGACGAGACAGGAGAAGAAGAGGCACGCAGAGAGAAGTCGTTGGATTGTTTATAGAAGGCGGCAGAACGTGACTACTCTTTTTTTTTTTTAAGTGCGTCACCGTTTGACGCACTTTGTGCAGCATTTATCTCTGTTGATTCAAGCGGTGCGAATTTTTCCCTGGTTACTCGGATAAATAAATGCTTTGTTTTATAAGGTCGCGTCTAGCCTGTATACAAACACGCGTGTAATCTCAGGTGTAATCAGGTCTAATCTACGGACAAACATTCGCGCATACAATTTTATTATATAATATAATATTATAATATAATATAATATAATATTATTATATAATATTATATATATATATATATATATATATATATATATATATATCCGCGAGTTATTATAAATTTTAATATAATATTATTATATAATATTAATATATATTAATATAATATAATATTATATCCGCGAGTTATAAATTTTTCCCAATTGACGCTCGGCTTGTAAACAAAACTGGACAATTAAGAAAGAGGAGGCGCAAACGTTTGGAGGCGCAAAGTAAGCGAAATTGTTTGAATATTGTACATTGAACGATAGAAATTGTTTACAAGATTTGAAGAGGTGTTAAGAACCGTGCCCCTTGATGAACTGATTTTTCTCTTTTTTTCACAGAATGACCCGACGATATACCGTGATCTATCATAAGCTATCCTCGCATCTGCACTTTTCCCGGACCTTCAAACGGTTTCATCGGTTATCGGTTATCACTCGACGCTCGGTATTTAGCCCTAAAGCTCACTTGCAAATGATCTAAAAGAGCCTCGAGGCCCTTGTCGGTGACCGCGCAGCATCTCAGGGACAATGAGTGAACGTTTCGTTGCGCTAGAGGAAAGCCATGGATCAGTTGCGGGATGTCCTTGTCGGCCGCGCCCAGAAGTACCAGCGAACGGAACCCTCTTCTGACCAAGGAAGCGTAGAGGCGGGTACGAGAGCTCGGTAGCATGGTGCGCACTTCTCGGCATCTGACGACCGGTACCAAGCCTGCCCAAAGTCGGGGACGCGCGTACAGTATGTCCCTCCATCTTGTGCACACCTGCAAACGTGTCGAACAATTAGCAAATTTGCTTTCGACGTTAGAACCGGGAAATTAGGATCGTTGTGCCGATACCAATCACGTTTCGCCTGCGAGAGTACAGCAAATTCTTCCTAATCGACGCTCGGCTTGGAAACAAAAATGGACAATTTGAGAAGAGGAGACGCGATTATTCGAGCCTCGCGGCTCGTTTTTATAGTCACCGATTGTCAACAATTATAAAAACGAGCGCAGCAAGGCTGAAATAAGCGTGAATCTTCTTTCTAAATTGTCCAGTTTTGTTTACAAGCCGAGCGTCAATTGGGAAAAATTTATAATAACTCGCGGATATATATATATATAATATTATATTATATTATATTAATATTATATAATAATATTATAATATTATTATTATATTATTATATATATTAATATATTATATTATATTATTATTATATATTATATTAATATATATAATAATATAATAATAATATAATATTATTAATATTATATATATTAATATAATATATATATAATATAACATAATATAGCATAATAACTCCGTTTGGCGCACACATCAACTGTTCGAAAAACAATGGGTGTGTTGAACGCGTGACCGGCTTTAGGAGTCGCTTCAGCTCGGATCCTCGCGCATAAATGACGGGAGCGTAAAATTTGTCACGGGTACGATTTGCGTCCGGGGAACCCGGCTATATCTTCGTGTTGCGTAATTCTCCTTGAGAAGAAGGTAATTCCTCTTGTCAGAAATAAATCAACGCGATGGAGGAGGATACGCGGCCGCGCGATGCGCCCGTGTCGGCTCCGATTGTTTATGACTCTGTTTATGGCTCCGCTTAATGATACCGCGATGCTAGAGCAAGAAACGCGTCGCGGAAGTTCTTAGGCGAAACTTCCCGCCGAAACGAGTGCTAATACGATTTATGCATTTTCCACGCTTGTCCCGCTGCGCGAGAATGTAACAAAACGTTGGCGTATAAACGAGCCGGGATCAAGGTCGCATCGAATCGCGTCGATTATGTTAAATCGTTATGTTTAATCGTTTGTCATCCGTCGACGCGTAAAATGATAGATCATTCAAAGAAATCCAGAAAGAACACGGATCAACGTGTCGGATAAACAATGTCTAATATTCGACGCGTGTATAAATAACGGATACCTTGCTTTTTAATATCTTAACATGGAAAATCGATTATCCGAAGATGTATCGTATTTTTAGCACCCCTGTACAGCGAAGACCGCGATCTCACGAACGCCAAGCGGGGATGTGTTCATGCTAATATACAGGGTGTTACAAATTTATTGTACAAGCGGGAAATGAGGGATTCCTGAGGTAATTTGGAGTAACTTTTTCCTTAGCGAAAATGCAATCTGCGGCTTCGTTTACGAGTTATTCAGGAAAAACGGTGACCAATGAGAGGCGAGCTCCGGTAGCGCGAGGCGGCCGAGCCAATGAGCGCGCGAAGCCCACTTCCGCTCAGTGGCTCGGCCGCTTTGCGTCGCCTCGCGCCAGCTGATCTCGCCTCTCATTGGTCACCGTTTTTCGCTAATAACTCGTGAACGAAGCCGCGGATTGCATTTTCGCTGAGGAAAAAGTTGCTTAAAATGACCTCAGGAATCCCTCATTTCCGGATTGCGAGACATTTTTGGGACAACTTGTATTTTTTAGCACAATCTGAGCATCAATTAGAGAGACATCACTGTAGTTACATTTGCAATTGTTTTAAACAATAATACTTGGGTCTATAATCTAGGTGTCGCGATCGTTCTTTCTGTAAGCAACATTTCTCTCTCGAGAAATATAGCAGATCGATTTCCCTAATAAACGATAATGTACCAAGAATTTTATGAAAATTAATTGGGCCATCGTTTAACCCTTTGTGGTCCAAAGCGTTTCAGAATTTCGTGAAACATTATTCGTTCACAACCTATTACAAGCTAACCTAATGATTTAATCATTTGGATATATATATATAAAGTAGCAACAATATTATTCTTACATTCTCCTGTGTATATTTTTAGTATTTGATTGTTCTTTCAATCGATTTCGTCGTAAATGCATAAAATTCGCGATCCGGTCATGAATACGTCGAGGATCTTTATGCAAAGTTGGAATATTGTGCATCAATTCCACGAAATAACAGCCACTTGGGGAAACGTCTGTCTTTCTCTAATCATTCGAGTAAAGTCGAACGTATCGATATTATTCGATTCTTTTAATCCGTCCACCGCGTTTCAAATGTCACCTGTTCACCGCTGCCGTAAATGCATTTATGCCGCACGCTACCTAGCAATGCATAAAAACCGCGGTCTATTTACGAGTAAAATACGTGCAGCGATTCCCATTAATATTCGGACAGTTTTCGGAACGCAATAACATTTTTGAAACTGGAATAAACGATTCGAATTTATCTTTTAGATGATAGAAGGACTAGTATACTAGATAATGATAATTGTTGTAATTTTGCTATTACTTGAAATGACGAAACAAAATAAAAGAAGAAAAGTTTTAACATTTTTCATCCGAGTCTATTAACAAAAATTTAAATATGCGTGCTGAAAATTTCATCGAAATCGATTAACGCAAATTCAAGTTACAATCGTTAAAAAATTGTGAAAATTGCGAATTTCTCATACTTACTGACCGAAGGTGTCAAAAATCGTGATTTTTGCGATCTTCAATTGTTCACAGCTCTTTCTCAGCTTTTCAACACGCATATACAGGATGTCGCAAAAATATCTCGCCATCCGGAAGAAGGGGATTCCTGAGGTCATTTGAAGCAACTTTCTCCTTAGCGAAAATGTAATTCGCGGCTTCCTTTACGAGTTATCAACGAAAAACGCTGGCCAATAGGAGACGAGTTTCGCTAGCGCGTGGCGGCGCAGCCAGCGAGCGCGCATAGCCCGGTCGCGCCGAATGGCCGGGCCGCCACGCGCCAGCCGCCGCGCGCCAGCCGAGCTCGCCTCTTATTGGTCACTGTTTTTCGCTAATAACTCATAAACGAAGCCTCGGAGAAAATTTTTGCAAAGGAGAAAGTTGCTTCAAATGACCTCGGGAACCTCCCATTTCCCATTTATCTGTCTCGTAGACGAACAAAATTAATAAACGAGCGAGGCCCGGCTGAGCACCTGGGCCAAAGATCTCCTCTCGATCGCGTTGAAGTAGAGGAAGAATTTGGCGAGGAAATGGTCGTCCTGCATCAGCTGTTCCCACGTGACCGGTCGAACGTAGCCGCCTGTGCCGCCGCTCGCCAACGGCACGTTCTTCGATCGGTTCCTGGATATCCGGCCCTGTATCGGCGTGCTGTTGCTCATCGACGTCGGCACGCTCCTGCTCGGCTTTTCCGGGGTTGCGTTCGCATTGTTCGCGCTCTGCAGATTCGTATAGGCCACGCCGCCGCTGCCGCAGAACACGTTCGTAACGCGGTCCATGACGCTGGCCTTTCCCGCACCTGAGAACAGATTCGTCGTTCGTTCACTCCGATTGCGTAACAAAGGGGGACACCGCGTTGCGGACGTTCGGCCTCAGGGGGAGGGTTTTCGGTTTCGGCCGACGGCCACGTACGCGATCCACGTGTAAAACGGGCGAGCACACGGGCCGCCGACACAGACGACGACGACGACGACGACCACGGCTTTTCTCGTCCCAATAACCGATCGAGCTGACTCTCATTTTCGTGCACCGAATACCAATAAACCCGTGGCCCGCAATCCTAGACTCTTGCGGCTCTTTGTGGCGTACGATCGTTTTCGAGGCGTTGCGAAACAGCTGCATTCACGATTCGTGTACGTGTACCGTCGCTCACGAATTTTTGCTCGCACGGTTTTCACACTGATTTAACCCTTTGCAGTCGAAGTCATTTTAAATCTAAGATCATTTTTTCTAATTTACCGCATTCCTGTTTTACATGGCGAAGTGCGTTTCGTGCGCACGATTTTTTAAATTTAGACTTTGATAATACGAAATGTTATAAATGATATAAATGATATAAATAATATAAATGATATAAATCATATAAATGATATAAATAATATAAATGATATAAATCATATAAATCATATAAATGATATAAATAATATAAATGATATAAATAATATAAATGATATAAATCATATAAATCATATAAATGATATAAATAATATAAATGATATAAATGATATAAATGATATAAGTAATATAAATGGTATAAATAATATAAATGATATAAATAATATAAATATAAACAATATAAATATAAACAATATAAATGATATAAATAAAATAAATGATATAAGTATAATATAAATAACATAAATAATATAAATAGCAATCTTAGTGGCG